GTAATTGTAGAAAAAAAAATATTAATCATACATCATATAAAAGAATGTATAGTACGAGTATATCTTCCAATGTATCAGATGAAATTAAATATTCACACAATTCTTTATTCTACATGTTAGGTGGTCTAAAAGACTGTATCATATGACATTCTGAGATACAATGCTCAGGCGTTTGCTTGTTTTCTTCGTAACACATTCTACATCTAGATTCATTTGCACTTCTTGCACTGAGCAGCTGCCAGTACATTCTGTAACTAAACGTATTCTGGCCATGACCTCGTCGCATTTTCTGGTAGGAGAGCTTGCTGTCTCTATACTGATCGCATTGCATTATGGCACAGCTTTCAGGCCTGTGAGTATTTCAGTTCTTCCTTATGAGAACTTTTACTCTTTACAGTATCTTTACTACAGGCTTCCTCCGCCAGTTTGTCTGCAGACTTCAAGTGTGGAGTATAGTATACGCAGATTTTCCCCACCTGACCTTAACAAGTTATTGTTATATTGGATATGTTAAGAACAGTAATCTTTTTTAATGATATCATACTTAATGTTTTACTTAATGTACTGCCTACATGAAATATCACTGAATTAGCCATTGATATTGAGATTCAGCAACAAATTATTCATTACTCAGATCATAAAATTCTTGTTCATTAACTCATTATTTTTTATATAAATTGTGTTGTTTTACTTATCATCATTCCTTTTATTCACTAATTTTATTAATCAACCAACAAGTATTTGGTATGTTATTACTTCATATTCGATAACCAAAAACAACATTCCCTTTTTTTTTGCAAATCAGAAAAAAAATTAAGGATTGGTAATTCAACAAAGACATTTGGTGTATAAGAAGAGAACTGAAAAAATGATAAGACATATTTATGTATGTTTATATGCATATGTGATATATATAAATGCATTTACACATATATATTTATACATGCATATGCATATACATTTGTACATATATATGTGTGTGTATGTATATATATATATATATATATATATATATATATATATATATATATATATATATATATATATATATATAATAATAATAATAATAATAATCATAATAATAATAATAACAGTAATGATAATGATAATAATAACAATAATAATAATAATAATAATAACACTCGCTTATTGAACATCTGTTCCATAAAGTACCCTACTTCATTAGCATCCGAATTAGTAATTTAAACTCGTACAAGAAGGAGAAAAAAAATCGCGAGACTGGCAGCTGGCGGACACGGAGAGAGAGAAATGGAAAGAAAAGAAAAGAAAAGAAAGAAAAAGAAAAGAAAAATATATATATATCATTGTTATTATTATTATAATCATTATTAGCATTATCATTATTAGCATTATTGTTATTATTATTATTAATATTATTATCAGTATTATTTTTGTTGTTATTGTTGTTATCATTATTTATTATTATCATCATCATTATTATTAGTAGTAGTATTGTTATTGTTATTATTGTTATTATTATTATTATCATTATCAGTTATTGTAATTATCAATATTATTATCATTATTATTATTATTATTATTACTATTATCATTTTAGTTATCATCATTATCACTATTATTGCATTATCATTTTCATTATTATCATTATTTTATCATTTTATTATCATCATTATTATTGTTATTATCATCATTGTTATTATCATTGATGGTAATGTTACTTTCACCATTTCTTATTATCATTCTGATTATCATTATCATCACTATCCTCATTCTCTTCATCATCACCATCATTATCACAGTCACCATCATCATTATCATCATTATGCCGCTCTCATGACGAAATCAATTTGATAAAGTAGATTATTATGGATTAGTAGGCAACCATGCAAAAATAAGAAATTAAGTAATGAAGGAATAAGAGAGAAGCAAAGGCTATTTATCTTTATCTTTCTCTCGTTTCCTTTATTTATTTTTTCTCTCTCTCTCTCCTCTAATTCTTTGTAAATGTATATAGTGTTTTTGTTAATATACCTCACCCGCTTGACTGCAAGACTAAGATCAAAGAGAGTGTAGAAATATCTTGCAGGAGCTGTGGTAGAATGCACCTCAGTCGGGCTGTTATATCGTCGAATGCACTCGTTTTTCTCTTTTCTTTTCTTTTTTCTTTTTCTTTTTTTTTTGGCTCCTAATTCAGTACCTCTCTGTTTTTCCTTCTCTCTCTCTCTCTCCCTCTCTCTCTCTCTCTCTCTCTCTCTCTCTCTCTCTCTCTCTCTCTCTCTCTCTCTCTCTCTCTCTCTCTCTCTCTCTCTCTCTCTCTCTCACTCACTCACTCTTTCTCTCGTTCTCTGTCGTACTACTTCTTTATTTATTTCCTTCCTCCCCCAATCCCTTCCCTCATCCCTCCTTTCCCACATCCACCCCCCTGTTTATTATATATATATATATATATATATATATATATATATATATATATATATATATATATATATATATATATATATATACATATATACTCTCTCTTTTTCCCTCTCCTACTACTACTTTATTTCTCTTTCCTCTCCCAATCCCTTCCCTCACCCCTCCCTCCCTCGTCGACTCTACCCATCCACCCTGTTTATTATATATATATTTTTTGTTGTTGCTGTTATTTACGTACAAGGAAACAAAGCTTCTATAGTTTCTAGTGAAACGGTTTAAATACACATCTCGGATATATGAGCCCCTTGGCTTTGAAGACCGACGGTTATTTTCGTATAAAAAGCTTCTGTGTGTGTAAATGTTTAGCAGTAATTTTCTCACTAGATGGATATTAACGATGCTGAAGAGAAAAAAAAATAACGGAATGCACATTTTTTTCGTTTCTTAAATTTAAAAAAAATTGATGTTTCGGATATTGAAAACGTGGAAAGAGGAACTGAAATAAGTATTATAATTGTTAATGTCAGTGACATTATTATTGGTATGATTATCAATATGGCAATCGTCTTTTTATATATTGCAAATTATTCTTATCAGAATTACACATAATATAATTATTGTCATAATTACTTTTAATTTGAATTACTCTTATTATAAATACACATCATAAATAGTCTTTTCATATTCACTATTATCTTTTTTATTATTATTACTCTTATCATAAAAGCTCTTTTCATAATGGCTCCTATCATATTCACTCTTAATTAAATTCAACCCGTTACTCTCGTTATAATTATTATCATCTATATCCTTTTAGATCTAACCAATAAGCTCGTCGTTATTAGTGTCTTTGTTATACACCTGAAGAAAAAAGGTGAATAAAAACATCTTTCTCAGAATCTGCATAAATATTAATGAAGTCTGAGCAACGTGC